GCCCGGCCCTGAGCCTCGTCGCGGCCAGAAAAAATCCCCAAACCGCTGCTTGCCTCGCTGTGGCAGCGGCTGTTAGGGACATTAGGGTTAAATCTAAGCGAGGGTCTGTCAAGGGTTAGATCGGGTTTAGCGCTGGACAAACGAATGACCGACTGGGGACGTCCCGGATTTACCGGGGGTCCCCCCCGCCACTCGTTCAGTTACAGTCTTGCAGAATCGGGTGCTGGCATTGGAAACAACGATCATAGTTTTTAGGGGGAAAAGAACACGGGGCTTCTCCTTTCATACAGTTTCTCAAAAGCAGAATTCCCTTTTATCAAACTTCTCATATTTCTAAGCGTACGGGCAATTCTCTCAGTTTGCTTTACTGAGGCTCTGCAACATGTCTTGCATCCATCGTCAGGCGGAGCTGAAACAAAGAGAAGGGGGAAAAGATGGAAACATAACGACGAGTTTAATTAAAAACACCTGGCTAGTTAAATACGTGCAGAGAAGCAGACACCCCGGTTATTTACCTCACCTGCGATGGACAAGCTGTCGCCTTATTCTCCTGAAATGTCCCGAGAACACGAGCAGTATTTGGTTTGAGGGAACTCTGCGGGCAAGGTTTGTAATCGTGGAAAAAGCGTGCCAGTAACCTACGGCCCCCCTCCGCTGAAAGAAATGTGCTGGTTTTCCGGGGAGCTGTGGACAGCCAGCTCCTAGCACCCTCTGTCCACGGCGCGACCGAAGACGCTGCTGTTAATTAGCAACACCCGGGAGTCTTTCAGGCTTGGGTTCAGAACCGGAGGGACGCTACGGCCTTTGGGCAGCTCAGATGCTCCTTTTTTAGCTTAATGAGAAAGGTTTTATCACGGGATCTTGGAGACGCGAGCAAGAGTAGCAGCAGTAAGGCAGATTTAGGAGTTGTGAGTCTGGGCTACAGGAATACGCTCGGGCTTTGGGTTTCAGCAGTATGGAAAAACCTTTCCCGTTCACACGTACTCTGGCTTTCCGTCGTGTTTGCCTTCTTTGCTAATACAGAGATGTAACTGGAATCTTTGTTTAGACTGGGGTGGCGGGGGGAAGCTGTGGCAAACGACGAAGACAAACGGGGGGGAGATCCTCTGCTTTTTTTCGTTGCTGATTTTTTCTGTTGTTGTTGCTGTTGTTGGGTTCCCCCCTTACCTCCCCCCCCGCCCCCCGCACAAAACCCGGCGCGGGCTCGCTGGCGGAGATAAGGATCCCGCCATGCTCGGAAGGCGGGTTTTGCGCAGGAGGTGAGGCCAGCGAGGCAGGTCCCCGCGCGGCGGGGTCCACCCACTTGAAAACAAAACTTTTTTACTGCAGGCGCTGAGAGCAGAGACCTGGCGCGGGGGCCCC